AAAAGAAGATAAGTAATAATTAAAATATTATAGTACTTAAATTGCCAAAATTCCCTTACATTATTATTTTCGAGTACATTTTATTTATTATTTATTCAATAACACTAAATTTTCGTAATCCCATAAAAAATTGGCAAAACCCTATATTAACCCCCAAACTTAACTCAAATTATTTCTTAAGCCTCTAAATTTTTATTAAAGTAAATAAATCCATAAACTTGTCAATTTTGGCAATTTAATCCTCTTCTTTACTCCAACCTTAACATTCATTTGTGCTTTTTTTGCATGAATAAAATCAATATATGCCATATAGGTAACAATATACTAATACCCTGTCTACCCACTCAAGCAATACATAAACTGACGACTAGTTTGTCGTAAAAAAAAGAGTTAAATTGTTTAAATTATTAAGTTTAGGGGCTTATTTTTTTCATTAAAAGTTTAGGAGCTTAATCAAGAATATGGATTAAGTTTGAGGACTTAACATAGGGTTTTGCCTAAAAAATTGCTCTGTCGTACGGTCGCCATAAACAAAAGCACAGGTCTTCAAGCTGACTCCGGCAGCACAGCGCAGGACAGATCTAATCCATCACTGAAAATCACAAACTATTCCAAAAAGCTTCACATCTACTCCTGCATTTCTTGTCTAGCAATGGATCTCAACTCACCCTGAAAAATCATTCTTTGTTTCCCCATCTCTTTTCATGCAGTTCCGCCTGGAACTAGTGTGAAAAATGTCGAGTAGGAGTCTCAGGGATTCTTTGGGCGGCGGGAGGAATACTCCGGTGGCATCTCAGCAACGCCGCGGTAACAGCTTGAACGGAGGATTCCCGGTCAGAGACTCCGATGAGAATCTGGATCTCTTCTCCAGGAACCGCCACAGCGTCTCTGTTGCATCCTCCGATGAATCTTCCGATGGTACTGTTTGATTATAACACTTTACTGAAATTTTTCGTTTCGTTGATTGAAGAGTTTATTGAATGCGGAGGAGAGAATTGTGATTGGATGGATTTCGTAAGATTTTGATTTTCCGTTCTCTTCTGAGTTTAATTTGTCAGTTCTCTTAGAGGAGGGGAGTAGGTAAGGAGAAAGATGGGAGACGAAAGTGATGTTTTTTGTGAGAAAAACGATGTCGTTTATGCTCTTAGAAGCGCATATCAGGAAACACATCACGACCTTGGTTTAATTTGGTTGTTTTGTTTATACGCATATTGACATTTTCTGGGTTTGTCGATTTATGGATGCAATCGTTTTTGTTTTAGTTTCTTATATGAATTTGATCCATTGCAGTTTCAGTGAAATTGAGTAGGCTTCCAGTTGGCTCCGTAAAAGTACCCAAGAGTGGGATGGATGATCTACTCACCTCCATAAATTTAGGAAAGAATGACTATGATTGGTGAGATATTAACTTTGTTAATCTCTGCATTGCAATTATGTGGTTCTGAAAGTGTGTGTTTTGATCTTGATTCTTTTGTTTTCTTTTATTTCGGAATATTCCCAATGAAAATTGAAAATCTTTTAAACTTTATATATGTTGTAGTTCTAGACTAAATCAATCCATTAGGATCATAAATTGCTTAATTTTGCCTTCTCTATCTTATTCTCTATATTGCTCTCAATTTGTTCCTTTGTTTTTTATTTTTTTTTCTTTTGTCCAACTGTCTGTAGAAAATGGGGTAGCCCTTGGCTATATGATGGTGAGGGCACATCTGATCCCAGATGTCACTTTGTCAGGCTGACAAAAATCTATATTATCGTGAAACTAGTGAAGTTGCTTTTAGAGTGGAATTGCAATGAGGATATGATTGGTGTTACTCTGTTTGACAGCTTTTTGATGCAATATATTGTATGGTATTGAAGTTAGAGAATTTTTGATGATATATTTACAATTTTACTTGAGCTTGAAACACATTGAAAGTTCTCATTGTTGAAATAACTTTGCTTTTAGAAACTTGTCTGCAACTAGTGAGTAATATGTTATTTAGTGTTTGAGATGCTTATCATGCCAGAATGTTCACTGCACCTCAAGTAGACTGTGTTTCAGTTGGATCCACTCAGTTTGTAAACTTTAAAATGCAAATTTAATTTTCTTAAGTTGTCAAGCTTTCATTTTCTTGACATAATTTATTTGGTGCCAAAGCCTGATGGTTTGAGTTATTCAGATTTGAACTTAAATTATGTTCAGAGATCCTTGTCTGTCTCAGTTTATGATAATTACTTATATTTATATTTATGTCATTAGGCTTCTCACTCCTCCTGAAACTCCCCTTTTTGCTTCATCGGATGGAATTGAATCACAACCAACCTCAATGGCTCCAAGAGGCAATTCCAGAGTTAGATCAGTTTCCACTACAAAAAGTTCAAGGGTATGCATTTCCTTCTTTCCCTCTCCTCTCAGATTCCTTTTACCTTTTTTTTTTTTAAAAAAAAAAAAAAAAACTTGCAGTCAATACTTCCTGTGTATGCATCCAGATAAACTAGAGAAATTATCCTTTCTGTTTCCTGAATTCTCTAAAGCACAAACAAGTATTCAAGAATGATTCTTACCAGTACTAGTAGATGGGCTGCCTTCAGAACAACATTTGGAGTTTGCAACTGTATATAATTAATTTCCTGATTTCCCTCTGTTCCAGCTTTCTGTTTCACAATCTGAGAGCAATCATTCTGCAAGGCCAACTAGAAGCAGTTCTGTAACTCGGTCTTCTCTCTCCACTTCTCATGGTACCTATTCCTCAAACAGAGGCCCTTCAATTCTGAATACAAGCTCAGCCTCTGTCTCTTCTTACACTAGACCATCTTCTCCCATTACCCGCTCCCCTTCTACAGTGAGACCATCCACCCCATCTGCTCGCCCAATTCTGTCACGACCCTCAACTCCTTCAAAAGCCCGTGCAACCCTTACCAACTCTTCTATTGACAAGAATCGACCGTCCCAGGGTTCAAGGCCATCAACTCCAACTTCTAGGTCACAAATCCCTGCAAACTTGAATTCCACAGTTGCTCGTTCAAGTTCTCGTCCAACAACTCCCACTCGTCGGAATTCTGCACCTTCTCTGTCTTCATCAGCAGGTGCATCAACTTCAGTAGGACGTGTAATTTCTAATGGTCGCAATGCTGCCCCAGGATCCCGACCAAGTTCCCCTAGCCCACGAGTCCGGCCTCCACCACAACCCATTGTACCTCCTGATTTTCCACTTGACACACCACCAAACCTCAGAACAACTTTGCCAGACAGGCCACTCTCTGCTGGTAGGTCTCGACCAGCTGCTTCTGTCACCATCAAAACAAATCAAGACACCACAGGCCCTGTAAATACAAGAAGACATTCATCACCCATTGTAACAAGAGGAAGACTCACAGAATCCCCTGGAAGGAGTCGCATCCATTCCAATGGGCATGTATCTGACATACATGAACCTCGTAAAACCTCACTTACCTCAGATTCAACTATGCGGAAACCTGTGAAATCTTCAATAACTACTGCAGAGAGCAATGGATTTGGAAGGACTATCTCCAAAAAATCACTGGATATGGCTATCAGACATATGGTATGCATAATCTCTACTGTTATATTTAAATATTTAATGAACTTACTTGTTTGGTCCTATGTCAAAACCTGCCGCTTGCAAAGTTAGCTGTATCTGGATTCTAGAAATCATTTCCCTTTTCATGATTATCTGCTGGGCAAAAGAAACTCAACTTTTGCATATGATTTGAATGCCATCATAAAGTAGTAAATTACAATTCTTGACTGCCACTACATTATCATAATTCGTGCTCATGTTTTTATCTTGCTGATAAAAATAAAAAATAAAAAAATTCATGCCCATATGATAAGAGCATTATCTGCAATGACAATGTGCCACCATGGTAATTCTCTGTTATTGTTTGTGATTGTTGCAGTTAACCAGTTTGTTTTATTTGACATCAAACATTTCGACTTTATCAATCATTTCATTTTCTGCCATTTCTTTCTCATCAAACAAATGATTATATAATTATCGTGCTCGCCAAACTCAAAAGTTTTGGAATTATTATTTATTGCCTCTAGCCTCTATGTGACTAAGCATAAGAAAATCCATACCTAATTTGAGTAGAATAATGAGAATAAGAAGAATGAATTTCGAAATTCTTAGAGTAGCATAGTTGCATCTATGTAGTGGAATACCTGTTAATATCAGCTATCTTTGCCCGTTCCCCTTGCCACATATTGGCTGGGAACAACTTCACCAACATGAACTTTAATCTCCCCTTTGCTTGCTTATTTGAAAATTGTAGGTAGGATCTTATCTTATTCCTACGTTTTGGCTTAGATTTGTAAATTAGAGCTTGGACTTGTGAGTGTGACAGAATGTTTAATAGCTGGAATTAGTTGAATTAGTTGTGCTTATCTTTTCATTTGTTGCTGGTGAGTTGTAAGATTCTAAAATTTAAAATTGAGTTAGGTTTTTGATTATTTATAAACAAGATCAATTAGTTGTAATTATGAGGTTTATCTTGCGGGATAAATCTGCACACTGAGTAGTCTCTGATGGCAGGACATAAGAAATGGCACAGGGAGCATTCGTCAACTTTCAGGCACCACCCTCTTCCCTCAGAGCATCCGATCTGCAAAGACACAGTCTGCCCGGACAATGAATGCTTCAGATACCATCAGTAACAATGGAAGCATACACAATGGTGACATCTCACAGAATGGAAGCAACATTAGCAGGCCTGTGGAGAACAGTAGTAAGGTAAATGATGGGCGACCCACCTCCAGGTTGAGTGAAGTGGACATCTACGAGAGTTCCAGATATGATGCAATATTGTTCAAGGAAGACTCGAAGAATACAAACTGGCTGCATAATGTTGATGATAAAACTGATCAAGGGCCTGTTTTCGACAATGCTTCTGAGCCTCTGCCTGAACCGTTTGGGTTATCATAACACCTAAGAAAGTGTTTTTTTTTTTTTCTTTTTCCTAATTTATATTCTATTTATTTGTAAAGAATATGTAGCTTGTGCTGGTAAAATTATTTGTTGGACAGAATGTCGTCTTGTATCATTAAAAACAAGGGAGTGGAGGCAGAGCATGTTTTCTAATGAAGAAAACTCGATTGCTTAATTTGTCACTAATATTCCATTTCACGATTCGTATGGGATTAAAGAGAAGCAACATTTAACAATAACAGTATTTTCCTTGTATTGGCATCAGAAGGTTTTTTACCAAAAGAATATATTGAATTTTAGATCTTGGACGCTAATAAGATAAGCCTCGTTTTGCAGTATTGTGTTGGTGTAACATGGTTCTAAGTCTTTTT